AACTCCAACTTTAATTTATTTGTGGTTAATATCTATTGGTTTATCTAAAGTAGTTATAAATTTAAATATTTTATTAGTGCTAGCCATAAACGTATTCTTTTATGCAGCAACATTGCAATATATTTTACAGGTGTGATATACGTTTTTTGAAGCGTTAGTGGAAACGGATTGATTATTAAGTATGTAGCAGAGTAAGTAAACATACATTGCAGTCTGCATTTTATTACAGCTATTAAAAATACAAAACAGGTGCGGCAGTCAGTATTGTAGGGCGTAAATATCGAGTGTCCGACGGCTACACTTCCCAAGGGGATCGGAGCATGGAAGTCGACGCTTTTCACTGTAAACGAGAGTGCAACCGTGTATAAAGTTATATGTTTATATATAAATATAGAAATACATGATAGGATGTTTAAAATGTACACATATTGTTAAGTTAAAATTTTTAGTGTATTTAATTTTTAATGTAGTATTAAAGGACTGTAATTTAATTCTTATATAATGAAAAGAATGCATTAAAACACATTACAATGTTAACAATTTGTGTCAAAATGATACAACATGAACTATATGAGTCCTTCAATATATCCGGCAAAATTATTAGGGAACATCCGGTCTACTTTTTATTTGATTGTTAATTTGATTAATAAGGTCAGATGTTTAATGCGGGATACAGGGACCCGAAGTTTACAGAGAAACACGGTTAATCCGCCCAAACAAATTAGTAACAACATTAATATATCCTCTGTATCCGCCAACTTCCCCGCAATAAGCAGAATGTATTAGTGTTATTTATCTTAGCTTGAGCGCCAGCAAAGTTTTAATTGCAAGCGCCGATACAATTTGCGTACAAATGAATTTATTCGCTGAATCCGTAGTGCACTCGCGATCGTGGGCGCGGAGGGGAGGTGGCGTGGGGCGCGGGGGCAGGGAGGCGGGGATTATCCGCGTGTGTCGAGCCGCTAATTGCGGGTAACGACAGTTCCGCCGCGCAGCCTCACACTCCCCCAACTCGCGCTTCCCAAACGCAATCACCACGCGCCCTTATAATGCCTGATATTCTAGTCAAATAGAGTTAATGTTCCTCTATCTCATTATGCTACACACGCAGTATCTAAACTGAATTGCGGCACTATTTCGTTCCGATATAAAAGGGCGTAGTAAATCAATGAGACAAAATTATTCAGGACTTAAAAGGAAGAGAAACAAAGTAATGTTGCATTGAGGGCAACGGAACTGGCACAGTAGCCAGTATTCGGGCAAACAAAAGGGTGATAGCGATGCGTGCGTAAATCACGCGGCGTACAATAACAGAGCCTCCCCGCCCAGCGCCTCGCCGCGCCGCCACCGAGCCTCCTACTGCCCGACGCTTCTATGACCGTTGGATATCATAAATCTGCCATTCGGAGATGGGTTTCTATGTCCATACAAATATCTGACGAACCGTAGATATTGTTCACAAGTTAATTATATTATAGGAAAATTAAACTTTACGTAGAGCAGCTAGTGAAAACTTAATTTAAAAAAATCTGTGAGCGAAAAAATTATGTTCCTATTTTCTTGCTTTTCAAAATTTACAAAACATTGAAAATTCAGTCATTTTACTATTCGGTTGAACAAAACAAATCTTTTTACAAATGTGATACAGTTACAATCGAAATTGGGCAGTATGCACAGTAACTCTTGGCGTTCGGTAACTTGGACACAACCGTATCGTGCGACATTCACTGCAATTATCGCCGCACAATGACCGTATAAATCTTCATGGAGTACTGTGTTCATCCTTGCATCTATAGAATGTTCAGTACTAAACGACCACAAATATTCCATTCCAGAATATACCGTTAAAATATAAGTAACGCGGTATACAGATTTTCTATTAAGAGAGAGCAATCATTGGAAATGATTAGTTTGACACAGATAAAACGAACCCAATTAATAACAACAAATAAGCATGATGTCTGTAAGAAATTAAGATCGGTCGATGCGGATCTGGAGCGCTATCTAATCTTACCTATACGTCTCGAGCCGAAGAACAAACAAGCCGCGAGTTGAGATTACGCTCCGAATAAATCAATGTTACAACGCGTTAAAATATTTAAGCTCACGATTAATGCCGGCTGCGAATTCTCGTCTTATCGCGGTGAAGCGCGCTCGGGGCAAGGCGCAGATGTTCAGGCGACCCGCGATCACCGGGTTCCACGGCGTATTAATCTCAACTGTATTCCAAACAAATCTCTCTTATATTTCATTGCAAATCTGTTTCCGAAAAAATACGCAGCAAAGTTTGACTAGACCGATAAGGTAACTAAAACATTTTAGATTTTCGCCCACGGCGAAAACCTTCGTTTCGTTTTACTACGCTGTCAATTTTTACACTGGCAACAAAATAAACTGATAAAACGAGAATATAAACGCCGAAGTAAAAGTGCCATCAATGTTTAACGAGCTGGCCTACGTCTCTACGCGATTGCCAATTAATGTATAATTTACGCGGATGATTAACCGGAAGCTTATCGTTCTCCGGTTATGTATCATGAAATTGCCATAGAAGTTTTACAAGGGCTCGTTAGGGCGGCGGTAACGATAACCGCACCAGATAACTGTTTCTAATCAGACGTAATGACACAGCGCCGCCTCGCGGCTTTCCCCCGCCCTGCATCGCTGCCGGAGACAGCGGCCCGCGCTTTGCCTCCCCTGCTCTTCATGTCATCTCTTGTTTAACTTACATATAGTTGGAGTAAACACAGCGCCATACCTATACATAAGTTCATAACTTAGAAATTTCAGACTGAGATAATTCTAAACCAGACATTAAAGTTATAAATAAGAAGTATTAGGTGCAATACTAGAATTAGCAAGAGACTCAGTCTGCACGGAATTATGAGAAAGAAAAGTTTTCTTCCATATTTTGTTTTTCATATCTCAATTTCAACGAGATAAAATGATCCGTTCCGGTGATACCTTCTAACATGTTTTCGCATTTAAAATATTAGTAACTAAAGTAAGAAGGAAGATTAATAATTTAGACGTTCAAAAAAATATTTTAACGTAAGTACCTAAAAAGCTAATGAACGAAAGTTAATTTTGTTTTAGAATTTAGAATCTTCCAAGACTTAAAATTTCTTAAGCTATTACAGTATTTTGTGAGAATATATTACCTAGAGAGACACAAAATAACAAAATTAAATTCGAATTCGATTTCATAAAGAAGTTTCCGAAGCGAAGAGGATGGATACTTTTGATATAACGATATACTGGCGGAAGTAATAAAATAAAACGATTTTACATCTCCAGGGGGAAACGAACGTTTTTGTCGAATGGGAAAAGTAGCGAGCGACTTCTCATTCCGCGATAAAATCGGGAACGTTTTACGACAATCTTCTATTCGATTACCGTTAAACAACAATCTTTAAAAAGTTTTATTCACTTTCTCATGCAAAACTGATGTCGTAAGAGCTAACGGATGGATTATGATGCTTTTTCTAAAGTTTTCGATTCTTAAATAAAAAATGTTTTTCTTATTTGGTTGTACGATGATATTCCGCTGGCGGAACACAGTACGATATTAATATTAGTGCACATTTTCATTTTTCATTGTACCGTGATTTGTAACATTTTTAAGTATAATAGCAATTAACAATAACATTTTCTAGTAAAATAATACAAAATTAAGACAAGCTTAACGTAATACTAAAAATGACAATCATTCTTTTAAAGTTCTCTTAAAAACATACAGAGTAATAAACCTTCAAAAATAATCAAGACACATGGTTCGATCATGCCTGAAATAGAACTTCAAATAAATGTATAAGAAAACCGAAACGATCAACGTGCCGAAGGCGATGTGGGCCGATATTTGCAATATGCGGTAATCGCGGCCAAATAAAAAGAAACTGGTCAGCTGCAGAGTGTCGCTCGGTAGTACAGTGAACCGGTCACGTCGGCGCATTTCGTATTATTTCCCTAGGACGTGTCACGTGACCTGAATAATGTAGGCATCGGCCGCAGCCGCGGCTCCCGTCCGCTCGGACCCTTCGCAAATAAACCGCTTTACGCACGATTCTCCAGCGGAGATTCATTATTCCAACTTTTGCTTACGATATCATAAAATGTAAAGTTCCCTTAGTTACGTAAACCTTTCGTTTACGGAAGGGCAAACGCGTCATAACTTTGAAATACATAAGCAAGTGGATGAAGACGCGAAAACAACTAGAGGTTTTATTTGCATATTAACTACTCTAAGAAAAGTTTTTGAAAAGAATTGTTATTTATAGCTTTGAGTATTCTTAAAAAAATCCTGTATAATTCGAAACAAAAGGTGTAATTTATTTAAATAAAATTTTCCCGCCAAGGATTACGTGAAATCTCATCTTAAGACCATTTGAATTTCTTATTTTATAACAAAGAATGTTTGAGTGGAAGCTGCTTGCCTGCACAGAGCAAGAACAAACTACGGTTAAGCTCCGAGTGGTCAAGTTAATAATGATGCTAGTATTTTATTATAAAAAATCCAATTTCTTAAGTAATGCGCAATTCTTTTATTTAAAAAAAAATGTGGGCATTTCACTGTGTAAAATGTTTTTGTTCACAATACACTAAATGGAGATGTACAAATGAACCTCTAGTACTACTCTCCGGGGTTACGGTGTAGCAGTTTATTGCACGGTGGGCTCGCTCATAACTACCCATTTACCTCCGGATAATGAAGGACAACAAGCAATGTTATGTTTATTTCAAAGTCCAGGACATAATGTCTCGCTTGTATACGTGATTCCCGGGTGAGAGACCCGCTCCGCCGGTACACATTCACACAAAAGTAATAAACATCTCTTTGTTGAGCGCCACACATTAATGTTAGCAAACTAAGATCGAAATTTTATATATATTCGTATTCAAGAACAGAAGTCATATAAAGAATTCCTTGGCTGTAACGTTTTCCTTTTATTTTAGAGCTATATTTCCTGCACTTTATCATCTAGAATAGAAAAGTCACCCACCTCGGGTTGCCTCGTAGCGCGGCGTGGTGAAGTGCATTAAATCCATTGTTATTTGTTCGCGTCATATCGGCTCCGTGGTCCAACAGCAAAGTCAATATGTCGTCCCGCTTTTTCGATATAGCATCGTGGAGTGGTGTGTCGCCTTCCGAATCCTATAAAACATACACATAAAAATATGTTAAAACGCAGATAGTATAAAATATGCAAAATGTTAATAAACTCTCATATACAGTGAAAGATAAAAGATAATGATAGTTAAATTCGTATAATATTCTGTTTATTACGAAAATCAGAAAATTAAATTTATAAAAAGATTATACAAGTATATTGGCAAAACGAACGAAGCAATTATATTTGAATAGTTGCAACTGACGTTCGGTCCTTGTAGCGAAAAGCTTATATCAATTTATTTAAAAAAAATGTAACGCAGTGACTGGTAACTCTTATGCAATGAAAATATGAGAACTTGATTTAAATGTGATTTATATCTTGCCTTAATTGTATTCTACATTAATTATTTTCTTGGAAATAATGCCAGCAAGTTATTAATATTATTTTAATTACTTTGAACTTGACTATTATTTTTTTCAATGAGAGCAGGAGTCATCTAAAAGGGAAATAAAAACATTCTGTTGACAAAAAGTTTCTAAAGTAACAAGATTTTAAAAAGGTCAAAGGTATATTCATTAAGGTGATGGAAGATTTTATTACATGTTAAATCAGACTAGGAATAAAATATTACTGTAGGTATGAAATATAATTGATTTGAAATTAACGAGTAAAAGAAACAAATCTAGTTGTTAAACGGAATACTTGTGCAGTTTATTATTTCGCAATATGAATAATATCACGACAATGCATCATACAATCTGGTTTGAAAGAGAATGAAATTAATAAATGAGTAGGCAACAGGTTGAGTTCGTGTAGTGGTATAGTGGTATAGTGGTATTGTCGCATAGCGCGCGGCATCAGCTGTGCGAGAGCGCGGCTGCTGAATTATACAGCAGCGCCCGTCTCGAGTATCGCGACAATTTTCTAAAACATCAAACCGCCCGAATGAATAATTGAGGCGGAGGAGAAGGCGTTTAGGGCGCGGATTATGGAGAGCTGCATAATTTAAAGGCGTCTCAGAGTAGTTAAGGCGAGCGAGCTCGGCTCCAACGATGCGCCGGGCGGTGCCCGAGCTGAATCAAAAACGGTGTCGAGTTCCGCAATATAGGGCGAACGGCGAATGGCGCAAAAAGCGCGGCCACCACGTCATTATCATAATCACCGGCGCTACGTGGTGTCGCCGCTCGCGCGCCCGGCCGTTCGCTTTGTGAGCGCGCGCTAAGAGAGCGCCGCGATGCGCTCTGTCATTACACAATTAATTTGCAAAATTGCAAGCGACCGTAAGATGAGTGCAGCTACTCTTGCAAACAAGCTGGATGTGCCTTTTTACTTTCTGTGCATCCATAACTTATGGAAAATTTCATAACGTCACAATAATAACATATTAAGAGATTATTGGAAAGAAAATGAAGAATCTTATATAATCCTATATTTTGTGTAACCACTGCGATCAATCACTCACTCCTACATGCTTAAATTTTAAATTTTGTAATGTTTTTCGTAATTAAAGTTGCATTTTACTAGAGAAAATAAACGTTCCTTAATACTTTATTTGACGTCAAACAAGACAGTTGTTAACTATAATATTTTTTAAAATAGTCCAACATTTTTATAGCAATCTTGTGCAATACCACGCGATTATGTTGTCAATTCAGTTTACGACAGAATTTTTGATTGCAATAAAACAGGCAAATATTGCAACAACAGTAAATACGTCACAGCAGTCACGGCATTTTCATGCAGATCTGTCGACAAGTGTCGTCGGTTCTTGTGGAATAAATTGCATCAAATAAATGCAAATGAATACAAAACATTCTCTTAATGTAACCGTTACATTGTCCTGTTGGACCACTTATCCGCTGTGATAGTTCTATAAACGCGATTGATAATAACTAACTTCTAACTAAATCAACTAAATGGCCACATAATACACAAATATTATCTGTTCATGTTAATCTCTTGATGAAACAAATAAATATGGATGGCTGCCAATTTCTGTAGGCAATTGATATAAGGTAGGCTCTCGCACAGACATGGATTAATTTCACATTGTACAGCTGCATCAAATATTAATAGTATTGGTTTTACACGGGGATATCGTGCGCTACAATTGATGTTGCTGTTTTATACGAACATTGTTACGAACCGTACATCAGCAGCACATTGTCACGAAGTCGAAGTTTATCTAAAAAAAGCAATAACAAAGTAGAAAATTCTCTCTAGAAATATGTAGCGACAGTGAACACTTTATTAGTGACAAAGTAATGGACAATTTATTCCTAAACTAATAACTACAATGACAATATTTTTTATCAGGCCAGAGTTAGTAGATGCAAAAGTTTAATAGATACGTAATTGTAAATGTCAAGAGTGCAACTCGAACTTAACATTAAAACTGTGTCGCAGAGCCGCAGGTCAGCAATCTACCTTTATTTAAGAGCGTTAGAAACTAGATCTCGACTCTTACGACACTCGGGGGATTTAGTGTAGTTACCTCTATTAAATGAAACAATATTATTATTCGACATTCTATAAATTATATGCTCACTTAAATATTACAGAAATAAAAGAAAGTTTAAAGTTTTCTAAGTAAAAAGTAGCAATGTAGCATTTTGAAGCAAGACATAATTCATTTTGTGATTGGTGTTTTACTCATTTTGCAGCATAGACAACATTTTATATTCATTGGTCTCGTCCTTATGAAATTGTTATCATAATATCATGTCAACACTTCTATTAGTTATAGTATTGCCACATCAAAAAAATTTGATAAGCGAAACAACTAAAAGTAAAACATAACATTTTACTGGGCATTCGAAATAAACCAGGAGGACAGGGGTTAGCCGTGGCTTTGTGTTCGAATCAAATAAAAAAAAAACAAAAAGCGACCCGCTCTCCAAACAATAACAACACAAAACAGCAAGGTAATTACTCAAAGATAAGAACAACGCGTTAGAAAATGTACGAGGCGGGAAAGGATGGCAGTCGGGGGGTGTGCGGGTTGCGGGGTGGTTAGTTGGGGGGAGGGTAGAACTGATGCCCGCGCTGATATCGCAGCGCCTGAAATGTACCTAAGCTTGATTAACCCCCTTTCATCTTTACAAATTTAATTAATTGATGATAATTATAATTAGTTACGTTGACTGTATGAAAGTGCATTTTTATCAATAACCTAAGTTGTCAAATAACCTGCCAATAATCAGAACAAACGAAAAATAATGACAGACAATTCTGTCCTTACAATTAAATTCTTATTTTTAGATATGACCAAAAACTAAGGATGAAACTAACATGACCAAACTTCAATTATATTCTAAGGTAATCGGGTTTACGAACGCACCGAGGACAAACCTACAAGCCAACATCAAACAAATATGTGCACCAACACTTGTATAATAAATCTAAGTTTATCGTATTTTCTAATTAAAATTCGTTTAACGTTTTCATAACAAAAGAAAGCATTAAACTACAAAAAGGTATATTCCAGCAGTGGCATTAAATCTAGAATCCGACGATGCGGTAATAATTCTCCGACACTGTCTTCCTGTCTGAATATAATACAATGCAGGTAGTCGGCACGGCAGCGGCACGGGCGGGGAGGACGGTGCGATTCTCACATCTACATAGTTAAACTTATAGTTTACTCAGTTTAAACTAAAATTACTGAACTAGATAAAGACGTTATATTGTGACTAGGATTTACAAAAATATTTGGTACCGATGCACTTGTTGCGAAAGAAACAAATTAGGTTTCTTCTAGAGCACACGTTATGATAAATGCTGACAAAAGTACAAACTGACCTTAAATCTCTCTTAACTTCTCCCTAAATCTTGCTCAACACAATAATCGTACAATGAACAAAAAACTATTAAAACTCAAAGGGCGTCCACTTTTAAAATTATTAGATAGGTAAATGATCAGATGGCCACCATTTAAATCTCATGGAAGGTTTTCATAAAGACATTGAGACACTGAATGAAAGAAAACAACTAATTGTTTAATTTCCAAGCCATTTAGTGCAGTAATGAGGGTGGATTATTCACGGGCCATATACCGTGGCGCCGCGACTAACGCTTTCCCCGCGACGCTCGCGCACATCAATTTGTGTCCAACTCTCGCTTCGTCACGATACATTACACAACAAACGCTTCTTTAAACGGTAATCCTTCAAGAAGAAAAGTCTTTATAACTATTAAAACTATTCAATAAAATCAGATTTATCAAGTCACATATAGGTAGAAAAACAAATTAAAAAAGCTCTTTTCCAATAATATACGACCATAGATAGGAATGTAGGTACTAATTAATACTTTTCATAATAAACAATGGAAACAAACCATGGAAAACCAAAACCATTCGTCATCGCAATTCAAATCAACAATGGAAGTACAAAGCAATTTCTATGATAAATGGTTACTTACCAATTATTGGGGCGGACGGAGTAATTTAAAATTCATGGATATTCGGCGCCAGATAAAATATTTAGCGCGTGGTGAAATGCAAAATTGGAGTTATTAACTAACTGAATTAATTTGGCAATTCATATCGTGTGGCAATTATCGAATGGCTCACAGAGTTAAGCAATGCGTCGGCGTCGCAGCAGCGTCCTGCACCCTCATCATGCCTTGATTGATTGTACGGAATTAAGCCTGCGCGCCTCCATGCATGCGCCTCAATATGCGAACATTAACAATTAAAATTTATCGATGTAAGCAAAATAAATAAGGCCCATGCATTAAATCCTGTATCGCTATGAGATTTAAAAGAATGAAACTGCTGCCAATTGACAACTGATTTATAATGCAGCTTAAAATTTATTTATTTCAACTATTTTATCCTTTGTTCTGAATTTGCTATTTAACGTTTTTATTTAATGCGTGAATTGAGGAAAGAAAATATTGTCAATAAAATGTAAGTACTATATAATAGTAAAAAATGAAGGAAAAGAAGTTAGTAGCATCGTAGCACGCCACAGACGATTGTCGCTTTAATATCTCATCCACGTAAATCTTTTGATTCAGTGCGACCGCAGCCGCGGCG